TACATTTCTTATCAAGCATTGTAACCTCCTCCTTTGTTTACTCTTCCCATCCCTTCCCAGCCTCCCCCTAACCCCCCCTACCCAAGAAAAACAAGAGAGGGCAGAAAAGTATAGGGCTAAGATGGGAAATCTATGAAAGAAGATAAAGAAAGGGAAAAAGACCAAGAATGCTTTCACATTAATCTCAAACCAACTATAAATATATAAAATGTTCTTTTTACATTAAACTTTTTATTAGAATAGTTTGTGTTTTTATATGCTTTATACTTGTCAAATAGCTTATGGAATTGTTACAGGTATTCATTAATGTGAAAGAGCAAGAATTTTACCAAGGAGTGGCGCTATAGCTCAAGTGGTAGAGCGCTCACCTTGAGCTGAAGAGCTGAGGGACAGCGCCCAGACCCAGAGTTCAAGCCCCACGACCGACAAAAAAAAAAAAAAAAAAAAGAATTTTACCAAGGGATTATAAGTTACTAACAGATAAACATAAAACTGATACCTCTTTAATGGTTCTTCAAGACACAAAAATAGATCTTGTCTACTGTCTCTTAAACTGTAAAAAAAAAATTTAAGGATCTGCATTACAGAAAAACAAAGAATGAACACCAAGATCCATGATAAAAATAGGACATCTCGACAATAGATATGTGGATTCAAAAAATGTGGTACCTATATACAATGGAATTTTACACAGCCATCAGGAAGAATAAAATAATGCCATTTGTAGAGAAATGGACAGAACTAGAACAAATCATGTTAAGTTAGGTAAGCCAAGATCAGAGAGACAAACAGCACATGTTCTTCTGATATGAAAAAGTTAGATCTAAAGCACACTGGGATATGACGAATGACACAAGATTCTAGATACTCACATAAATAATCTTAGGAGAGAATTACAGAGGTGCAATACCCAAGCAACTCTTCATATATATAAAATAATATACATACTGAAACGAACCCCAAAGATATGAAAACAAAGGACTCTTCTTAATTTGTGTTTTTTGCTCATGATTCTTTATTCTTTACTTTATATACAGTATATTCGCATGCTTATCTGTAGGAGGGTGGGAAGAGGGCACAGAATCTAATTTTTAAAAAGGTTGAAAAAGTGCAGCAGTGGAGCACACTGGACATTAATGAAAGTGAACTATACAACTCATGGGTGGAGATAGGAGGGCAGGAATGGGAAAGAAGGAGGGGATAGATGACACTTCACAAAAGGAAATGTATTTATTACCTAATGTTGGTAAATGTAACCCCTCTGTATATCATCTGCATGATAACAATAAAGTAAATTAATTAAAAAATAAGACTTCTCTAGACAAAGTAACATGTAGTAGCCCAGGGCTAGGTTAAAAGGAGTGGGAAATAGAGAATAGATACAAGGTGATGTTTGTGGGGTGATAAAAATGTCTTAAAATTATATTGAGGTTGTAGTGGTACAACTCCATAATATACTGAACTCCACTTTAGAAAAGTGGAGTTCTTGAACCATTAAGCTAGTATCATTAAAGGTAGCAAAATAAATAACCCATTCCATACTACAGAGACAAAGCACAAAAATCACTCCTTCTAATCTATATATTGAAAAGGTGTATCTCTTCTTGGTAATAGTATTACAAATAGGGTCGTTATTCATTTCAATGTTGTTTTAAATTTAGAGTACTAGTCCAAGCCAAAGAATATAAACTTATTCAGAAAGTATTTTATAACTTTGCCAGAGAAGATACATAGTACACCCAACACTTCTTCCTAGGCTTTAAGCACTCAAGTTTTAAGTGTTATAATATGATACATATAATTTCATTTAATAATAGTATACCTACTATGTTTAGGTAATAACAAACTAGCATCTCATGATAAATTTTCCATTTATATCCTTTTAGCCATTCGATATTTTTACATTCTAAGTATGTTTTTCAACAAAAAATAAGTAACATGTTAAGAGAGTAAGAGAGCTTATTTATCAGCAAGAAAAGAAAAAGTAGAAATGTTCACATATAAAGGAAACTAAATACAATACATAATTTTGGATTGGCTTCTCAACTGAAGAAACAAAAACTCTGGTATTAGCAACATTATGAGATCCTAGGACAAAACTAGAGTATATCCAGTAGGTCAGATGAATGGATGCCATTTGTTCATACACAGAAAAAGTGGTCAAATGTTAAGAATAGCTAAATCTGAGTAAAGAAGGACATGTGTACTTCTGCTTTTCTACAAACTGCTTAAAATTAACAAATAAATAGATAATAAGAAAAAAGTATTTTACCTTTGCCCACATATTTACTTTTCTAGCTCTTATTCATCTTTTACATGAAAAAAAACTGTTCATTTAATAAAGTGTAGCTTCAGTTTTAGTTGACTTAGAAATGACACTATTTGTAGCACTGGTGTTTGTGTGTCTTTGTCTAATTTGTTACAAAACCTTACAGACAGGTGCAAACAGTAAATCCTCTTTTGCAGCCCAGAACTCACTGTTGAGTATGAGATTTTGGAACATGTAAGAAGGAATATGATTCCCACAATAGTTGGCAATGTAGGGGTTTGTTAACTTACACAGGTTGGCTCGGAGAATAAAGCTGATGTAAAAACTTATTTTTTTAAGCCTCTATTTTATCTTCATTCCAAAGGATATTTTCAGTTGATAACAAAATTCCAGATTGACAATTTTGGGGTCTGACTGAATATGTAAGATGAAACATTGGTTTTTGGGTTACAGTTTCTGATAAGAAGTCAATGATAATTTCTATCACTGTTTTTCTATGAGTAATGTGCCCTTTATTCCTGACTCTTGGTAAGATTTTTTTTTCCTCTTACGTTTTCAGCAAATTGATAATGCTGTTTCTAAGTGTTGATTTTCTTTGTGTTAAATCTTGCTTGGGATCTGGTAAGCTTCTCAGATCGGGGGGTCTTTTCAATAAATTTGTCAATTCTTTGGCAATTTATTTCTTCTAGGCTTTTTCTGCTAGTATCCTAATTCAGATACTAAATTTTTATTGAACTTCTTTACTGTGCCTGTGTGTCATATTTTCTTGCTTTTTCATGAACATAGGAATTGTATTCTAGACACTGGATGCTTCATTATTCAGAATTTGAGTTATGTTGTTCTTACTTTAAAGTTTTCCTCTCTCAGACAGTTTATTTGTAAGTGGATGGAGCTAATTCCAAAGGGATTTGGTTTGAGGTTTTGCTGTGTGCAATCTACACTAACCTTTCCATTATACCTAGAAACAGCTGTATTCCTAAAGCATGACCTTTCTGAAGTCATAGATGACAGCATACAATATTCAATATGCTCTCTACCAAAACTAGCTGGTCTGAATTCAAACATTTCCAAGTATTCAATGTCCATTCGGTTCACAATCCCACGGTAACTGCATTATGGAGTGCAGAGCTTCATATATAACCAAAGGTTTATTGGCACTCCACTTTATATTTTCTGGGACTCTTTTATTCAATTGCCTCCTCTCAGAATCCTAGTCCATAAATCGCAACTGTTCTGCATCCCTAACCTCAGATCTGTGCTTCACGTGCTCGGAGTCTGCTGATGTTTGACCACTTCCCTGCACCACAGTTTGGCAAGTGCTCCAAAGAGAAGCAGGGACAAAAGTGGAGCTCATTTTATGTGTTCTCTCTTCTGCTGACTACAATATCTGTGTCCACTCAGGATTATAGGTACTAATAGCAAAAGATAATTTCATCGTGGCTAGAACCAGAAGCCCCTAATTCTGTTTCTCAAATGGACTTAAAATATATTATCTTACACTTAAACAGGTAACATAAAAGACAAACATTATTTCCATGTGGTGGATTAACAAATCAGGATATATAATGTGTTAAATAACCTACCTTCAACCCATAAAAGTTATTTATAGAAATATTTATCAAACACCTATTACAGGCACATAGTAATTGACATATTGGTTAAAGGAACTTGGAAAATGAAGTTTCAACCCACATTATTTCTACCAAACCATCAATAAAGCAAATGCATTGTACCAAAAAAAGTCTAATGAATTCATACTAAGACTCTATCATTCAATCCACCAGGAACAAGCCTATATTCTTAAAAATCACTGCAATTTACATTTATGATTTATTTTTTACCATAAAAAAACTCCTATTTGCTATCTAAGTAATTTCATTCCTACAATTAGTTTTCTACAGTTTTCCCTCCCTATACTTATATTAGTAGCTACTACCTAATCAAGTCACTTCTATTTAGCTATGTCAAATTTTGAGTTTCAGCTAACTTAATTGTATTTCTAATTTTCATATGGCCAAATCAAGTATGTTTTGCTGGCATATGAAGAAAAAAATATAATACAATTCTAAATGCCATTTCAGTAGTATCATTCCAAAGAGTAGTATTGTTTCTTCTATCTTCAATAAATAAAACTGGTACATTTTCATCTTGCATATTTATTTTTACCCCTCATACTAACTTCTTGACCTACAGAAGTTTGGGTGTAAGAAAACAGCCATTAAATGAAGTTCATTTTATAGAATAGTGCTTAAGAACATGTTAATATTTATTATCTTTTTAAATTATTTAATAGTTAAGTTTTAAAATCTATTTACTCTACATCCCTTGCAAGTTTCAAACTTACTACATAGCCCAGCCTGTTCTCAATCAATAATATCCTCCTTTTGCCTCTCAAGTCATTTACTATCTTAATATTTGACTGATTCCAGTGAAATAAAGTACATTTGAACACAAAGCCAGATACTGTACAACCTTGACTGTTACATTTTGAGAATCTGTTCTTATTTTTAAAGCCTAAGCCAGAAAAAAAAAAAAAAGTTTGTTGAAAGACTTTCTGAAGATGGCAAAAGTGAATGGCCCCAGCAGTATTCTTTAATTCATAGAAACATTACTTTCTCACCTATTTATGACTCTTAAATTAATATTTTAAGTAGTTGATTATTTTGTTATTCTCAAAAGTTAGTAATAGTTGTGCTGAATCAAGACTCTGGCCTTTGTAAAAGGTCCTTACCTGCAGCACATCTTGGATCTTCACCCACACATCTGCCATATCATACAATTTGATTTCTTCCTGCTGGGTCACTGGAATCCCAACAGAGTCCTGCAGATACCCCAGAACCACAGAGTGGGCAGTGGCCACAGCATTAAACTTGTCAAACAGCAGTTCCAGAAGCTCTAGAAGTAACCTGTGGCAAAACAAACCAACAAATAAAGAACATTTATACAAACACACACATACACACAAATACATATGCACACACACACATTCACACACAGACAGAAATGGTTTACATTAGAATACAAGAAAAACATCAAACTCAGATAATACAGTACTCTAAAAACATAAACAGTACAAATATCACACATTATAAACAGATTTGATTTCAAACAGTTGCATGATCTAAGTAATTTCATATGTTAGTATCTAGACCCAGATACTCTCCTATAAGTTAACATAATTAGATGGGGATTGGTGGTTCTTGTCTGCAAACCTAGGTACTCAGGAGGCTGAGATTTGGAGGACTAAAGTTCAAAGCCAGCCTAGTTAGAAAAGTCAACAAGACTCTATTTCCAAAACAACCAGCAAAAGTAGCCAAGATGGAGATGTAGCTCAAGAAGAGTATCAGCTGAGCAAGTAAGCAGTGTTAGCCAGCAAAAGGCCCTGAGGTCAAACCCTGACACATTGGAGAAAGTAAGTAAAATAAACATAATCAAAGATTTTATAGCCAGGTATGTGTGGCTCACACCTGTAATCCTAGGTACTCAGGATGCTAGGATCTAAGAATCATAGTACAAAGCCAGCCCAGGCAGGAAAGTCTGTGAGACTCTAATCTCCAGTTAGCCACCAAAAAACCAGATGTGGAGTTGTGGCTCAAAGTTCTAGAGCTCTAGCTGTGACCCAAAGAGCACAGGACAGCTTCCAGACCCTGAGTTCAAGCCTCACAACCAAAAAAAAAGTTTTATACACTATAGGTGTTGAAAGTAATACAGTAGACAGTAAAAACTTGTTCAAAGTATACGATGCACATATGTGTAATGACTACAATGCCCCTTTGTATGATTAATGTATACTTTTGAAGAAAGTAAAAGTAAAGCCCCTAAGCCATCAGTAGCAGCTCAGTAAACACTTTTTTCCTTTTAAAAATATTTTAGTGGTTATTCAGATAGGCAGCTTCTCCAAGGACTTCAAGCAATTTTTTTCAGACTATGTTTTAGATGTTACACAGAATATGTTACACCCTAGTAATAAATTAGGCACTGTGGTAAGGACACTAATCCTTTTAGTCATGGAAAGTGAGCTTACTACCATTCGAAGATATGGCTTAAGGTGCCGGAAAAAAAAAAATACACATCTGTCAAGCAATCTGACTTTCACTACAGGGAGCAGCTCAGACATCCGCATTATCTCATTTATCATAGTGAGATATGCTGGACACATATTATTACATCGATTTTATAAACTCAAGGACACAAAATGAGGTTGCAAGGCAGACGGGCCTAGAGCAAAAGTTGATTTCCATGTCATTGCTTTTACTTACCTACTTCTCACTACCATTCTTGAATGCAGATATATATTTACAGATAGCTTTATATCATATATACAAAGCAATTCTTCAACTACTGATGCTTACATCTTTCCTGATCACCCCAGCCTAGGATCATCATTTCTTCCTCTAAATTTGTATAATATTTTATCCCACTTTTAAGGAAATTATTATATTTGGTTTATATTACTTGGCTTAGTTAATGTGGATCATGTTTATTCATATACAGAAATTTTGCCTCCCTTCTCTATTATTAGTCTTTCAGGACAAGCCCTGCATTAAACATTTCTATATTCAAGAGCACTTTGAACAAGGGTTAGCAAATATTTGCTGAATGAATTTAATATGCATATTATGAACAACAAGCACAGAAAATCTTGGAATTTCAGATTTATTGGGTGGTTCTCAATGTATAGCTCCTGAATAAACTAATTTTAAAAAAAACCTGAAAGTAGGAAAGAAGAAGCAAAAGAGCTTGATAGCAGTATCAGGTAACCAGATCTTATTACCATAAATAAGGGGTTATATCACCTAATCAAAACATATAGCATATTATCTATTCCTATAGTTCCTTTACTGCCCAATTATTATAATTAATATGCCAATGTGACAACCCATAAGTGCCTTATATGACAAAATCTTAATATCTACCTGGCACTGTAATTTGAACAAATAGAATGAATCAAAAGTATGCAGTATTTCTAGTCTACAATCCATAATCTAAAATTACAAATGGTAAATGGGAGCCGTTCTGCCTTTCAAGTAGTATTTTCTTCAACCTGCTAAATGTCAGTTCATCTTTATATTCATATATGCCTAGAATTTTTTTATCTTTTTCATCTGTGTTATTGAAGAAATACTCAAACTATAACATATAGGAAGTACAAAATACAGAAAGATGTATCTGAGTGTAACAGGTGAAATAATTAATTCAGTCTTGGGAAACAATGGGTATAAATATGGCATTATATACAGTAAATACCCAGTTACCTTAAGATACCACTCAAGATCGATGGTGACCAGATATAAGTCTTCAGAATATCTATATTTTTCAGTGGTGGATAAAAAGGTAAGAAAAAAATAAATAAAATACATTTACTTTACACAAAGGTAAAATCATTTGTATTTCGCATACCCTCTTGGAGGGAAACTTCTGTTCTTTTCTATCACGGTGGCAATGATGTGGTCAAAGGCCCTTACTTGACAAACCCACATTTAATATGCATATGTTATGCTCAACTGATCCACAACATTCAGATACTAGTTCCCCAGTGGCTTGAAGGTCCAGGCACATGGCTGAAAACTAGAGACAGTTTAAAAAAAAAAAAAAAAGCACTGGAAGCATTGTGGCTGCATAACGAACAGTTTGATGCCTCTTCTGGTGTATCCAGGATTACTGAGCTCCACAAAGCAAATCTAGTCTTTTAGTTAAGGACATAAGCAGCTCAGCACTGCTTTGTTAAGAAAAGAGACCCAAGTGTCATATCTCTGGCTCATAGAGTAGTTAAATGTTTAGTTTTTTTGAGAAATCTCCAAACTGCCTTCCACAGTGGTTATAGCAGTTTATATTTCCGCCAACAGCATATTAAGGTTGAGATCATTACATTGTTAAGAAAAAGTATGGATACATATTGTAGGACTCCTATGAAATGTCAGGATGGAGAAGTACACAGAGACAGGTAACACATTTGTGGTTGCTTGCAGTGGGTGGTAGCTGGCTGATAAAGTACAAAGGGTTTATTTTGAGTGGACAAAAATGTTCTGGAGATAGGTACTGGTAATGGTTACAAAACCCTGTAGATATACTAAAAAAAACACTGAATTGTATATTTTCAATAGGTAATTGTATGATATGTCAATTTCATATTAATATAGCTGTTTGAGAAAAAAAATCATAGCTATGGCTGCCAGTGAGATCAGTGAGGAACCGACACATCTCCTGTGGTGAGCAAGAATAAACAGAAAAGTAAAGGTAGAAGCCTAGGATCTCAAAAAAGGAAGCATCCTGGAAGCACAATCCTTTGAATTCTTACTAGTTGGAAGATATTAGCATTTCTCTTTTGGTTTATTTGTTTATTTTGTTTGGATTAATTAATTAATTTGGTTGGTTGGTTGGTTTATTTTGTTTCTTCTTCTTACAAGAATAGCATGTAAGAAGCAAAGATTACATTCGTTCTCAGAGCTGATACTTCTTAAGCTTTTAATTATTTAAAAGTAAGTTTAAAAAAATTCAAGTCTATGCATCAAGGGTCTCCATCTATAAAGCCAAAGAAATAGCATCTCTTCGAAGAGCCTGGTAGAGCTGCCAGGGGAACCAAACCTGAAAATGAACCGAATGAGCTGAAGTAATCACGATATTAAAGAAAGCAGAGGGCTATGGATTCCTCTGTGTGGTTTTCTGGCTTGAGAAACAGTGATAATGATGGCTGTCCTTCTTGGGTATGGGGGACAAATAGAAAGAGAAATAACATATACATAAGTTAGAGACAGAAAGTTAGAAGTTTGAGGTTCAGATCTTGATGAAATTTAAGTTGTTTTGCCTTTAGGTACTTAGATATGCAAGTCAGGAATTCAGGAGAAAGATAGAGGAAATTTTAAAAATATAAATACTTGAGAGGAGGTGATCGCTGAGAGATATAATGCAGTGTCAGAAAAACAAGGGCTAGAACCAACACTTCTGGAAACTGCATCTTGAAAGGAAGCTGCTAGAGAGAAAGGAAGCCACAAAATAATTTAGAAGACAAAACAGAAGAGATTTATCAGCAGAGTCAGGGGCTGTACAGAGGTCAAATGTGGGAAAGAGAAATTTACAACTCACAGGTGTCCAGGGACCTGAGCAAGAAGAGGTTTAGTGGAACATTGGAAGGTGAATTGAGAGGTGGGATGAGCAAGGAATACCTAATAAGGAAAAACAAGCCAAAGTCAATCACAGGCTTTTCAAAGGCACCTGGGTCCTCACCATGTGCACTCCTGAAAACAAGGAAAGAAAAAGTAAAATGTTTCTGTAATGCATCAAAGAATAAAAGAGATTAGGAGTCACCCACATAAACAGGACATAAATCTGTATCAGTCTGGCCCAATTAAAGCTACTAGAAATAACCTGAAATATGTCATCAATATTCATATGCACTCTCCTGCTGCCCACACAAGATTAGAAAAAACAAGTGTTTGCTTTCAGCTTTAGACACTCAGAATGAAATGACTATACAGAGTCTCACTGAAAACATTTTCTATCCCATAGCCACTACAAAATATTAAGAAAGAAAATGAAAAACATTATTTTGCAGTGAGCTCAGCTGCCTAAATCCAGTGTGGATCAAGGTTTTTGCCACTGATCTAAAAGACAATAAGCAGGCAAGATCATTAAATTACCTGATGATTCTTTAAGCTGACTTGAATTAGGAGAGGCCTCTTACAGGAACAGGCCTAAAAACCTTGGAGGTTTGAATTTCAATTAGCTGCAATTTCTACCCTTCAGAAGAAAAAAAAAACCATACGTATATATACTCCTCTTGTAGGTTATTTCTAGAATCATAGAACAGTACACAGTAATATGCATTACAGAATCACGGGAAATACATGAATCCTGAAATGGCAATGGTTACTAGTGCCAGCCAGTATAACACACAGGCATGAGAAGC